GGAACTTTAGCCCTGTATTAGGGTTAGGGGTGTGCACCAGGGTAGGGTTAGGGTTAGCAAAACGAGGTGTCCTGGCATGGTTTTGATGGCTGGAGTGTGGTTAGAATGGGCAGAAATATTGAGCTGTGCAGAAAAAGCCACTCAAGGAAGTCTTCTTCAAATTCGCCCACTTTTCAATGGAACTTTAGCCCTGTATTAGGGTTAGGGGTGTGCGCCAGGGTAGGGTTAGGATTAGGAAAACGAGGTGTCCTGGCATGGTTTTGATGGTTGGAGTGTGTTTAGAATGGGCAGAAATGTTGAGCTGTGCAGAAAAAGCCACTCAAGGAAGGCTTCTTCAAAATCGCCCTCTTTTCAATGGAACTTTAGCCCTGTATTAGGGTTAGGGGTGTGCGCCAGGGTAGGGTTAGGGTTAGCAAAACGAGGTGCCCTGGCATGGATTTGATGGTTGGAGTGTGTTTAGAATGGGAAGAAATGTTGAGCTGCGTAGAAAAAGCCACTCGATGAAGGCTTCTTCAAAATCGCCCTCTTTTCAATGGAACTTTAGCCCTGTGTTAGGGTTAGGGGTGTGCACCAGGGTAGGGTTAGGGTTAGCAAAATGAGGTGTCCTGGCATGGTTTTGATGGTTGGAGTGTGTTTAGAATGGGCAGAATTGTTGAGCTGTGCAGAAAAAGCCTCTCGATGAAGGCTTCTTCAAAATCGCCCACTTTTCAAGGGAACTTTAGCCCTGTATTAGGGCTAGGGGTGTGCACCAGGGTAGGGTTAGGGTTAGCAAAACGAGGTGTCCTGGCATGGTTTTGATGGTTGGAGTGTGGTTAGAATGGGCAGAAATATTGAGCTGTGCAGAAAAAGCCACTCAAGGAAGGCTTCTTTGAAATCGCCCTCTTTTGAATAGAACTTTAGCCCTGTATTAGGGTTAGGGGTGTGCACCAGGGTAGGGTTAGGGCAGTGGTGGTGAACCTATGGCACGCGTGCTACAGCGGGCATGCAGAGCCCTGTCCTTTGGCACGTAAGCTACATCGCGCCAGTATCGCCCTAGTAGGCAAGCATCGGATAGCAGCACACACAGGGGCCATGTGCATGCTCAGAAAGGAGTCACGGTGCCAGGCAATGATGTCACGAGCTGCGACTCATTAGCTGTCACTCATCCGAGCTTTTGCATGGCCGGTCTGGCTGTGAACTGTTTTTTCTAAACTTAAACCTCAGTATTCAGTTTTTTGTGTATTGTTGGCACTTTGTGATAAATAAGTGGGTTTGGGGTTGCAGTTTAGGCACTTGGTCTCTAAAATGTTCCCCATCACTGCTCTATATGGTTACTGATTCTCTCTTTAATTATTTATATAAACAGTTTACCCAGAATGAATTTTACACTACCTGGCCTGTAATTTCAACTCCACTTTCCTTTTTAAAAATTGGTCTGACATTAGCCATTCTCCAATTCTCTGTTTCAAGGGCTGTTTTCAGGGACAGTAAAAATTCTGATAGGAAGATTAGCTATTCCATGTTTAATTCTTTAAGCACTGTAGGATGGGTATTGTCTGGACCAGTTGATTTGCTGACATTGAATGAAGAAGAGGAGACCTTTTTGCTTGGTCACTGTTATCTTCCTTAATTCCTCAGATTCCCTTCCAGACTATATAAGCTCAGGGTCAGAACTATGCTCAGCTTTGTCTGCTTTGAAGACTGCAGAAAATAATTCATTCAGCTTCTCTGCAACCTCCTTGTCCCCCTTTACTGGTCCTTTATTTCCATTATTGTCCAAATGGTCCAATTGCTTCTCTAGCTGTTTTCCTACTTTTGATATATTTAAAGAATTCCTTATCATTGCCCTTGATGTTATTACCGATAAGCTCCTCAAACCGTTTTCTTGTTTCTCTGATTGTCTCTTCTTTTGCAGTCTTGTGATCCTTTCTATTCTCTTCATTTGAACAAGACTTCAGTCTCTTGAAGGAAGCTTTTTGCTCCCCAATGGCCTTCTTGACTACTTGTTAACCAAGCTGGTGATTTCCTGGACTTAGAGTTGCCTATCCTAACTTGTGTTCATATTCTGTGCACTTCTATTATAGTATTTTGAGTAATCCCCAAGCACCATGAAGCTAATTCATCTTCTTGGTTCCCTTAGCTTCTCTTTAACCAGTTCCCCTTAGTCTTGGGAAATTTCTTCTTTTGAAGTCAAACACAAATTTGTTTGACTTCCTTGGTCATCTTTCACCTAACCGTATATAGAATCTGATGCCTGTGTGGTTGCTGTTACCTAATGACTCAGCAACATTTATATCCAGATCAACTCGGCCTATGACTAACTCCAGGATTGCCTCCCCTCTGGTTGCTTCTACTATGGGTTTTGAACCATACATAATCATTTCAGCATAATGGGCCCTTTTATATCTAGGGTTTCCAATGTAAGGACTGGTGCCTGGGGTGACATAGATTGATCGAGCCGTCTATGGACATATTAGTGTTGTTTAACATCTAACGTTCCCTCTAGTTATGACCCAGTACTCTACATCCATGACATATTTGATTAGTATCAGTCAAACTGATAAGTGGATCTCAAAGTTTCTCCATCCCCTACCAAGCTTATGTTCCTGTAGCCAAGTCTGTTACCCTCTTTTTATAGTCTGACTGAAGCTGCAAATATCTCGCTGGTAACCCAGCAACTTGTGCTAAAGTTGTTTTCTCTTTGCTAACATCACTTGTACTTTATTATTGACTCAGAAATTTTGCTTCTACTAAGGACTGATTATAAAATTTCAGCTTTTTGATACACCTTAATCTCCTTCTTTGAACATGGTGGATTGTTGTGTGGTGTGAATCCAAGTCATCCAGACAGCTGATAGGGTGTTGTACCCATGGTGAGCTACCATATTATCTGAAGTTGGGTGATCAACCCCAGTGAACTGAAACCAACCAGTCAGCTTCTTGGTGAGATCAGCAAAGAATCCCTTGCCATGTAGAGATCACAAAAAGGGATCTCCTGTTTGATAGCTAGTGACAAACTCTTCAAACAGCTGAAGTGACAGCTGGTGGCAGCCAAGTGGCACATTGGAGGGTCTGTCACTGGTTCGTCCTCCTTGTTTTAAATAATTTTTATGCCCCAGTTGTGCACTATTTATTATTTTTAGTTGGACTTGCACGAGTACACACTTAAGCACTTTTGCAGTTTTGTGGGTCTGAAATGGCATGCCTTACATGGGTGATGTCCAGGGGAGGGTCTGCTGTCCAAGTGCATCAGGCAGACCCCATGGGCATTGACCAAGACCTTTCTTTTTCACTTTGCTTTGTCTTGGCAGCTGTCAAAAAGTAAGTAATCAAAGTAATCAGGAGAAACCAAAGCCATGAGTGATCTTTGCTTACAAAAAGGCCTTGGCTACTAGATCACTTCATTTGTGGCAAGGTCCTCAGAGTAGTTTGTGTGTGTGTGTGTTTTGCTTTTTGAAAAGACAAAAAGCAAAACCCTGGCTTTTATGAGGGTCCTCAAAAAAGACCCTGGCTTTTTTTGAGGATCCTTTCACTTCTCCCCCTTTTTAGGTGCTGGGGAAGATGGACATGCACACTATGAGGGAAATCCAGTTGCTTTTTAAAAGCCTGTATCTGTGAAAAGGTGGACTAAGTTAAGGACTGGTTTCATATAATATACTATGCCACTGTGGATTACGCATATATGGGGAGAAGTCCTGGATGTAAAGTTATCCAAGATAAATTAAGTTGACCATAGATTTGGTTTGGAACCTATAGGACCTATCCCCATAGAGACAACCTAGGCACAGCAGACAGTTCCAAAACTCATGAGTATTTTTCTCCTATTTTCCAGGAGATGGAAAGGAAAACTAAGAGAATAGTATAGCATTCTGAGAGATGAACAGAATGGGAACCAGGATGACTGTGTTTGTGTAACTGGGAGGATTGCCTGGGAACCCAGTCGGATCGGTGGCCTCTTTTTTATCTGTCCCCCAGATATTTCGCTACCTTCGTATTTTCCTTCCTGAGAGTGGTTTTGCCATCAAGCGCTGCAGTCGGTATTCCTTGGAAATAAATGGGGCCCGAGTTGTCTCTACAAAATCATGGTAGGTTCATGGCTTTGTGACATTCTTCCCTCATGTTTGCCAGTTTTTACCTTTCAAATATTTATTTGTATGTCACCCAATAATTAAGTACTGTGTGTGTCTTACAGTACCAATAAAAAATAAAACATTGAAATGTGCACATACACTAGAATAACAAGAATCTAAAAAGCGTCATCAAAAGTACCAGAAACCAGGAATTAAAAAAAAAAAATCTTTAAATTTCAAGCAATCCCAGCAATACATTGACTTTTGAAAGACGGGGCAAAACAAAAGCATGTTTGGGTGGTACTGAAAATACCACCAAGCAGATGCTGGGAAATCTCGATGGAGAGCACATTCTGCAGCTGGGGCTGCGCCACCACTAAAAAGGGCCCCTTCCCAACTTTGTGCCAGGTTAAGCAGACACGAGCCTATTCATCACCTTCACTTGCTGCACTTCTTTGGGGTTTGTGACCACAAGAACCATCCTGTTCTCTGAGGCCATTTTCCCTCCTCACCTTTAAGGAGAAAGAATGACAAGCTGGAGCTCCTAGAGGGCTACATTGCAGAGCTGACTGAGCCGGATGAGAGCCTCCTGCGGACAGGTGAAAATGACTTCAGCGTCATGTACTCCACACGGAAACAGTGTGCCCAGCTCTGGTTGGGGCCTGCAGCCTTCATTAATCATGGTATGTGGATGCTTCCAACAAGCTCTGGCTCTGCTGCTCCATCCTTATTTCACTTTCCCTACCTCCCACAGTTTCTGCACCCTGCACATTCTTATTCGTATGGAAAATGTTATGGCAGATTGTTTTCCTTTATCCGTTTTCATTGATCAATTAAAAATGAATGTATTTCTAGTATGGAATAATATACCCTTATAAGATATATTTCACTACTGAATAAAACATATCTATTTATCCTGTAAATTATTTAGAATACATATGTTACTTCAGTAAAATGTATCCATGAAAATTTGTGTTTTGGGAGAGATGTGGTGGTGCAGTGGATTAAACCGCTGAGCCGCTGGGCTGGTTGGTTGGAAGGTCGCTAGTTTGAAACTGCAGACGGGGTGAGCTCCCGTATGTTGTCCCAGCTCCTGCCAACCTTGCAGTTTGAAAGCATACAAATGCAAGTAAATAAAAAGGTACCACTTTGGTGGGAAGGTAACAGTGTTCCGTGCACCTCGGTGTTTAGTCATGCTGGCCACATGACCACGGAGTCTGTCTGCGGACAAACGCTGGCTCCCTCAGCTAGGAAATGGAGATGAGCACCACCCCCTAGAGTCAGACATGAGTGGACTTTAATGTCATGGGGAAACCTTTACCTTTTAGAGACCCTTAAGAGACATTCCATGGCAGCACGAGTGCAAAGAAATTGTGTAAAACCAATTCAAAATTAGGACATGAAAAATAAAATGTTCCATTATGATTTTCTATGATTGCATAACTTGATTTCTAAGCAAAAATTTTCAAATATTTTAGCAAGAAAGAAGCAAGAAAGGTTTCCCCAAGTGTCAAGGTAGGAGGCTGCAGGATCCGGGCTAAATAAGGCTAGTTCTGCATGCAAAGAGCTACGATACATCCCCAACACAAAAGCTAGCCTACATAGAAAGGCAGTAAGTCCTAATGGGTGCAGTAGGCAGGCAATGACTTCCTGTGGCAGTGGGACTGGAACAATGAGGGCATGTTGAGGGAAAACCATGCCCACTGATGTAACCTGGCTTGCAGAGGCAGATAGTGATCTGCACCCCTGCCATTGCAGTTGGCCTTTCTAACCGCCTGTTAACAGCCTATTTATTTGCTGGCTGTCTCAGAAGGACGTGTCTTCCCACTTTCATCCCCACCCAGAGTTGTTAATTGCTGGGAAGACCACTTTAGTGGAGGCTTCTAGTAGTCAAATTATCTTGAAATCACTACAATTTTTATGTCAAATGTTTGAGCCCATCTGCCAAAGGCAAGAAATGAGGCCCTGCACAACTCTCTTGGAAGTTTTCTCCTATTTCTCCCCTCTCCCAAATCCACTGGAATTCTTGCTTAGCTTCCTAGCCCAGAGTTTAAGACATCAGTGCGATCAGCATCTGGATATGAGTCTGCTTGGGAGCCACAAATATGCTTCCATGGACTTCTATGGTAGTTAAAAATCAAGATTTTAGTGAAATTTCCCCAGACTCATTATTGTGATTAATGAAAGCAGCATGCATGACTGAAAATACAATATCAGACTTCCTTTACTTCAGTATGGTGCTGAGATGTAAAGAGAGACTGTACTATGTTTAACTTGTATCCATCTTCACTCTCATTCTCTCTCTCCCCCCACCCCTTTATCTCCATTCTCCACTTTACCTCCTTCACCCTTTGCAATTTGCCCGCACTGTGGAACCACTCAGACTGTAGGCCAAACTGTAAGGTAAGTCACTTCAGTATAATTCTAGGGGAGATGGTGTTCCTTATTCAAAGTGCCAGAGCTCTGTACTTAATAGGATGCTGTGTGCCAGATAGTTCTTTACCATCATAAGACCTAGAAACATGATCTAATTATCCCTAGGCTGGGTCCTGAAGAAATATCCCTTTTCAGCTTCTTTTTTTAAACATCTAGTATGCTGCTTCTGGGAAATGCATGCCAGAAGGGTATAGGAGCCAAGTGTTATGAATTTCTCTGAAAGTAAATAATGCCTTGTGAAATACAAGATTTGTGGCTGGGAGCTCAGTCACCTGGGATTTGGGAGCAGGAGTTTTTTCATCTCCACACCCCCAAGGAAGAACCTCTTCAGCCTTGGCATTCTTCCACTTCCTGTGGCGCCTTCCCTTCCTACCTTGTTTGTCTTTGTGCTGCAGTTTGTCCCAATGGATGGAAACACAGCCTGTGTCAAGGTGCTACGGGACATCGAGCCAGATGATGAGATCACATGCTTCTATGGCGACGGCTTCTTTGGGGAGAACAATGAATTGTGCGAGTGCTACACTTGTGAAAGGTGAAGGCCTGGGTGGTAGAGTCTCAAGGGCTGGCATCGGGGTGGTCTTTTTGGCTTTTGGAGCGCGTGGAAGATCAATCACCAGTGCTGCTGGGAAATGCAGACTGTCCAGCTGCTTAGGTGTGGAAATGTTCCAGCCTCAGGGGATGGAATTGCTCCTGTATCTGGTTGCTAGGTAGCAGTTTGGTGATAGGAGGCTGTTTTCTTTTGTAACCATTGCAGAATCTTCTGAAGAGCAGCAGTAAAATCTAAGGAGAAGAGAGGATATTATACATCATCCTCTCCACAGTAGATCAGTGGTGAATCCCCATCTGTTTCAGTACTATTTTTAAGAAGCTCATGTTTACTATGTCTTAATTTTCTCTTAATTGTCAGCTGCCTTGGAGGGAAAGGCTGCTTGGTGGAAAGGCAGCATCTTAACTATTTTCAGTAAGGGTGGAGTTCTTACGTTGCTCCCCTCATTTTCAATATTGACTCTCAGGAAGGGGGAAGGAGCCTTCCGCCCCTTGAACCAGGCACCATCACAATCTACCTCAGTCAATGAGAAATACCTGCTGAGAGAGACGGACGGCCGTTTACAGCGGTGGAAGGGTCAGTTGTGCAAGCTGGCCCAACGGAGTGTGAAAGTGGGACGCAAGGCCCGGCACAGAAGAGCCCGATTACGTGGTGAGTGTAAGAACGATGTGCTAAAAAAGGATCACAGTGGTATAGGGTGTGGTGCTGCCCAAGTGTTTTTCTTTGGCAAGAGAGGTGTGACTCGCTGTCTTACACCCTCTTGTTTTCACTCTCCGTCTACTTCAGGGCTTGCTCCACAGCCCGAGAGAGTGTTACCAAACTACTTGCTTTGTGGTGGGCTAAGGTGGATTTCGCTTTATCCTGAGCTGAGGCATTGTAGTGCTATCCTGGCTGCCATGTCTTTTTCAGGAAAAACCTTTGGTTCATAGATTCAGGAGAAACGAGTTGGGCTGCCCTGCACTGGTGTTCCTCCATTAGATAGAGGAACAAGACTATGGGGCTGTGCATCTTGCTGTGAAGGGCTCAATTGATGCAGCAGTGGCAGGTTGGCATCACACTTTTGAGGCTCTCGAAAGGTATTCTGCTGTGGGAGGGAGAAATGGATGCTGCATGAAGGCAGTAAGCTGGCCAATGGCAGCACTGGTTAAGTAGGAGGATGGTTGGGACTGAAGGTGTGGGAGAGGATTCACGTTCTTGGAACTAACGGGAGTTTGTTCCCTGTAGGCCGTCTAGAGACTTTTTAGTAATAGACGGCATAGGAACATTTTAAATAAATAAATAACCTCGCTTTTCCTTCTGCAGGAGCTCTGCGTAGATCTACTCCTCGCTGGTACCCCAGAATGCTAAAACCTTTATACATCCCACTGCATGACTGTTTGGCCTGCACATCACGTAGATGCAAACTCCGTAAGCAGCCCCTGGTGCATCTAGTGCGCTGTCCTCCTTCCATGTTCCCCTCCTCACATCTTTGGCTTTCTGCGCGCAGCAAGAGTAACTGCTCCAGGGCCCAATGGGACAGCCACTTCAGAAGAATGCGCAATGGGCCTACAAGCCTGGGCTGGCCTGACCAGTGCACCTTAGTTGTGAACCTTGGGAAGAGGGTTCCCTTGAACTGGGCAGAGGAGCATAGAGAAGTAGGGCCTGGGCTTGGAGAGGGTAAACCACATAGCAGCGTGGGGAAGCCAAGCCAGGGAGCTGAGGAGCAGCACACCGAAGAGGTGGAGAGCCATGCCGAGGTTGCGGGACTTCCGTGCTCGGGGGGGGCAAGAGCCCCTCAGCTCTGCAGAAGCTTTTTCCTCCAGGCAGCTGCTGTGCAGAACAAGGAGCATGGCCCGACGCCAAGCTCAGGTTTTGCCGAAGCCCCAGCTGTTGCTCCCAACAGTAGACCCCAAGCTTTCCCAGTATGCTCATGTCTGCCTTGAGGGCCCTCTCTTTGGAGGCAGGCAGCACTGGCAGCAGCCCCCTCCTGACAAGAAGGAGGAAGCAGAGGAGGAGCAAGCAGAGCAGCAGCTTCTTCCCAAGCGGATGGTTTCCTTTCCCCCCTTTGTGCCACCCAAACGGCTTCGACTGGTCGTGAGCCATGGCTCTATTAACCTTGAGGTTGCTTCAAGTTCCTGTGATGAGCTGTCCTGATCCAGCTGGTCTCTGGGTATGAAGGAGAGACCCCAGCTTCTTATTGAACTTTGACCCTTGGTAAGCGAGGGCAAAATCCCACCTACCAGAATTGGCCTGAAAGCATCTGACTCTTTGATGTGGTCCTCCTCCACCCCAGTCACCTTGTATGGGGTAAGAGGCCATCCCTTCTGTTCTGATGTGTTGTCCATAAAGGGCACAAGGTTGTATCTCTGCTAAGAACACACCACTCTGTGTTCCATCCTGTCTCTTTTTCCAGTGCAGATGTTGCTTTCCGTTCTCTCCTTCCAGGGTGTTTTCTCCATCATCTGTACAGCCACCCCTTTTTAAAAGCACACTCCACTACTTGGCCAAACATTACTACATGTTCCTGAAACTGAAGCCATATAGCAGGCTGTGTGGATGCTTAGGATTGCCTCCCCCATTTTCCTTTTCAGCTCTGCTTACTTTGCTCCAGAGTTCTTTGCTCTTTTAATTCTAGGTGTCCCCATGCTCTAGTTTGTACTCATTTATAGACTTTCTACGGATGCACATGGTGCTTTTGCCGTTTGTTTGCCCCTACAGAGGCTGTGAGGCTGATGTGGGTAAAGTGACTTGTGGGCAAAGGAAACCTGCAGCAAATCAGGGAAGCCTCTTTAACCCATTGTAAGAAAACCAGCAACCGAAAGTGCACATTCGCATGTAACCCAAGCTGTTCAACCCATTTAGCCTGATGGCTGTTACTTGCTAAACAGGCTTATCTAGGGAACTCCTGTTCTCTTCTCTTCTCTTCTCTTCTCTTCTCTTCTCTTCTCTTCTCTTCTCTTCTCTTCTCTTCTCTTC